GTTGGTAGGTGGAAGACTTTATTATAAATGACCTGACGTTTCGACAAGGATCGTCGTCCTCAGAGGCCTAAACATAGCTGTCGAAACGTCAGGCCATTTATAATAAAGTCTTCCACCTACCAACCTCTTTGGCAGAACAAATTACAACTTAAAAGTTCACAGTTTATGAAGAGAGAAGCTGGACTCTCTAGTAAGCCATCAGAAAAGGACAAAGCTCCAGGAAAGGGCCGATTGTTTTAGGGATGTGACACGCACTTCACTTGCGATATGGCCTACACAACGACGAGAGGGGGCACGAGAAGGTGATGTGCGGACCGACGCCTTTGTTCTTCGCAGATAATCCTGCTACCGATTCCTCAGTTCCGCTGGGATGGAATGCACATTCAATACGGAAGACAGCCGGTCCGGAATTTGATCCCCGAGCCACGGGTGTGGGAAACAACCTCACTTGCAGCTATACAAACTACACCAAAAAATGGTGGCAGAAAAAGCAGTAATCCTTGAGAATTCCTTGAAAATTTATTTTCAACTAACCTTCTCTGCATCTACACCTTCCGTCGATTACTTGACCTTCGACGCAGACCAGATCGCAAGCTTTTCCAAACAAGCGGCCCGAACAATGGCATTCACCTGTAATGAGTTGTGTCTATTGCTCAGGTTAGTAAACAGAACCATTTCTGCTTTTATAAGGAACGGGTTGATAAACGATCGGATAAAATAAAATGATCAACAAACATGTAAGGCACTATTTATCCCTAATGAACTAGTCCCTAAAGTTCGATTCGAAACTTCGCTCGGTTGGACTGATTGGATCTCGATTTGTGCTTTCCTGTGGAAGTTTGACATCTCAAAGGAAGCCCCGTGTTCATCCAGTGTTTAGGCGCCTTTTCTGGATATTGTACAGTCGTCATCCAGGCAGTTGATTAGGCGGTCGGCGAAGGGTTGCAGACGCGGCTGCAGCAGCGACCGCGTACGCAGGAACTGTTGGCGGCGATCAGCTGTTTCCGGCCTGGTTTAGTCATTTTCTCCCTACTTTTCACTGTTTTTGGCTGCTTTTCTTAAGGTTAGTTGTTCCTTGTCTTCACAAGGTGAATTATGATTGAGATTTCTCTAATTTTTGCGAACAATTAAACAATTAAACAAACAATAAACAAATACCTGAAAAATCGCAAAACACTTCATTACAAAAACAAAAAAAGGAATCCACGTCCTAATATACTTCATAAAGACAATAACACAACTTACCTTAAAAAATAGAAAATACAGTGAAAATTAGGGAGAAAATGGCTAAATTAGGCTGGAAACAGCTGATCGCCGCGGTCGTGACGCGCCGCGACCCTTTGACCGCCTAATCAACTGCCCGGATGACAACTCTAAACCTCCCCGCAAGCATGAAGGGGGATTACTTTCGAAGCATGGAAATATGTGAGGGAAGCGCCGCCCGCTCACAACGCAACCACGGCTCCGCCCACTGGCCATGACGACACCCAATTTCCATTTTTAACTACTACCTGATGGTGCGCTGTCCCGCTACTTACTTTCTCCATTTAGAACGGTCATAGTGAGGCGATAAGGAGAAAGAGCAGGCACCAACAAATGAGAACTCGTCCGACCACGCCTTTTCTTCGCCTTATGTAAAAGCACGGTTCAGCATACGGCTCTATATAAGGCATTTCAAGCGGGTTTTAAGTGCTCTTTTCCTCAGTTTTGTATTATTTACCATCTTGCCGATAGTACGCAGGCCGCATAAACCATAACTTTTGACTGCGAGGCGTGCCTTTAAGTACGATATCATCGTAAGAATAAGAATAACAGGATAACACTTGATGTGAAAGGCATGGCCCGCGCCATAAACGAGCGAACTACCCCGGGCCAAAGTGTTCGCGGTCCTTCCAACAGCGGCAGACTCCTACTGAAGCCTGACCTGAACCTCTGAAAAAAGTCGCAAAGAGTATGTAGCGCCAAGTGTAAGTACCATTTTTGTTATGACGGAAAGTGAGTCACTACAGTGAGAGGAAAGGTTTTTTATTCTTTTTCAGAGATCAATTGTATTGAGACGCACGGTTTTCTGGGTTCTCCATTGCAAAGTTCATTGAATAAGCATTTCTACACTTGAGCACTTGTTTTTTAAGGAAAATTTCTTCATTATTACCAAAATATGCCCCAGGGAAAGAAGTGGATCAGCAAAGAAAAGGATCCCACCTGTCGTCTGATTGACCCATCCATGGCAACGAGACTCGCAATGCTCTCCAACATAGTCACCGTCACATATGCAGCGACCTTCTTCCTCCGAATATCGGCCAAATTTCGAGCAGATCTTAAAAGCTTCGTAATAATGACAGCAGAATAGCGATGTTACAGAACAAACCATGGCAAGAAATAGCTATCTTTCTAACGTAGCGCAACTATGTTAACAATCGATAATTAAAGGCATAAGACACGATAATCCGGTACTCGGTCTGGAACGGTAGCAAAGGAGCTATAAAGGGGAGGGGCAAAAAAAGACACTTTTCTTCCTAGACTTTCATGGAGAAACAAGTTACACTTTATTAAATTCTACTTGGACCTTTCCACATCACCTTCAACCACACTATACCATGAAACTCCGCCACAGCCTTCTGGAGGAGCGCCATCGAGAGATTCTGCCACGCGACCGTGATTCGGTACCTGAGTTCAGCGAGATCGTTGATTTCTCCGCCACTGTAGACCACCCTATTGAGCTCCGCTCGGAACCGAGGTAATCGAGAGGAGTTTAGGACAGGTGACCACACTTGGAATAT